GTCTTTTGCTAGGCTAACTAATTCGAATTGACTCCAACAATTCGAATTAGTTAGTCCAGTTAAAGAATCGCATCAGGTTTCGTCACGTTTGATCAAGATGAAGCAGCTGCCCAGTCGACAGCTCGCGAGTCCATGTCAATTGGACCCCCGAGCCGTCCACTGGGCAGGCGGACGGCCACACCCCTCGTGGGTGCGGCTAAGTCTGCGTCTGCACATTCGTCGTGAGATCTACAAGTCATGAAACAATGGAAAATTTAAATTGTTTGTGTTACTGCTTTTAATGTATTTTCAGATCTTGTTTACTGTAATTGTGTGTTTGATTTTATCCTGTATAGAAAGTTACAACTTACTTGTGTAGTTGGAAGATGCCCCTTAAATACTTCTACGAGTCCTAAAACAGTCCTACACCAGAGTTTTTTAAGTTTGAGAACCCCACTAAATTAAAATTGGTAATATACTCGTAAATATAGCTTCAATCATCTGACGTTAGTTTCTCATTTACAGCTGCTGAGCACGGAAAGGATATCAATATTCGCACTCGACCTTCAAGTCTCCTTCCTACTATTCGAAGCTCTTCGCACACACCTCAAATTTCAAATGGAGGCGTTTTACAAGAAAATCATAGAAATCATATCCGCAGACACGACGAAAGCTATTTACGAGCTGAAAGAGATCCACCATCTTGCCTTGGAGAGCCTAGCACAAATGTTCAGGATACCGGGGCTCTGTGCTGAGATATACCTCAATTATGACTGCGACGTGTACTGCATGAACGTATTTGAAGAATTGACAAAACTTCTATCCAAAAACGTGGTTTCTTCTACCGCATACAATATCCATTCACTCTCTTTAGAAGCATTGATGACTATCATTGAAGCTGTGGAAATGGGATGTAGTCATAAAGAAATAAAGCAAGAAACAGAGCTACCCCCCAATGGGGAGGAGGAGAAAGAGAAGGACGTGAGAGGCGGTCACGTGTCATTGGAACTCGGGGGACTAGATGATGTGTCTGTAGTCAGTGACCATGTGACCCATGATATTAGTCAGTACTTTGGATGTGGAAGGACAGGGAGACATAAACCGTCCACTGATCTACCTTCGGAAGCTGAATTAGATAATATTAAGAATATGAAAAAGGTGGAGTTTACTACTTAATGCAAATATTTTTTTAATGATTCTTTTTGTCGTGTCTGATCGCCTAATTACCTATTTTTCCTTTTACAGTGGGTAACACAAGGTACAGAGTTGTTCAACCAGAAACCAGAGCGTGGTATTGAATTTTTACAAGAACATGGAGTGCTAGCAACCCCGCTAGACCCACACGAAGTTGCCATATTTTTGAGAGAAAACCCCGACTTAGATAAGAAAATGATAGGTGAGTTCTTATTTAAATTCTATTCTATATTTATTATCTTCTCATTCTTGCGCTAATCTTTATAAATCCGTTTGCGCAAATAATAATACTGCGCAAATGTGTTGCGCAGTTGATTATATTGCATAATCATGTTGCGCAAATAACTAACATGTCGTAACAATAACTGTTAGACATGACTAATATTATTTATTTTACCTTTCTCAGGTGAATTTATTTGCAAACGTTCGTCTCGTGGCGAAGATGATGAGGGTGGCCCATCAGTTCTGGGAGCCTTTGCAGACAGCTTCGACTACGCAGGACTGAGGATAGACCAGGCATTGCGAATGTATCTGGAGACATTCCGATTGCCAGGAGAAGCACCTCTCATCTTCCTTGTCATGGAACGTTTTGCTGAGAGGTGGCATGTAAGTAGAATTTGTCGTTTAAAATGGTTCTTATTGTCAAGATGTTAAGTTGGTTTTTATCTGTTCCAATACAGGTTTCTATCGGAGCAATGTTGCCATATTCTAACTATTCAAGCGAAAATCAACCATATTGTACAATATGTTTCAAATTCCAACAGAGTTCCAACGGGGAACCATTCGCGAACACAGACGCCGCCTTCCGCCTGGCATACGCCCTTATAATGCTGAACATGGACCAGCACAACCATAATGCTAAGAAATTGAACGTGCCGATGACTGTGGAAGACTTTGTGAAGAACCTCAGAGGATGCAATGGTTCTGGAGACTTTGATCAGTCCATGTTGGAGGCTGTGTTTCATTCTATCAAGTAAGTGTGGCAAATAAACGTCGAATTATTTTGTTATTATTAGCGCAATATGTTAGTGATGTTATTTTTATATTTACACATCAGGATAAGCCTTGAGAACCGGTGAAAGTTTTGAATTTTCTTTGACATTTGATTTTATGATGATAAATTTATTTATTTTCTCTCTACACAAAGGGTCATTCCACAAAAATAAGATACAATAATCAGATAAAAATATTATACTCCTTATGATTACTTTTGATTTCAAAGAGCTGTCTTATTTGAAATATTTTGGATTGAGATTTTTAAAGTTAAATGTGGCCTGCTAGCCCCTGATTATCCTCTACGGCGCCCCTGTTTGGGCGCCGAACTTGTTGCGGCGTCCTGCTCGGACGCTGCTCATGTCACAGAGGGTCATGGCGATCCGAATGATCCGCGGATACCGCACGATCTCCGGGGAGTCGGCGAACCTCCTTGCCGGATTACCGCCGTGGGATCTGGAGGCGAAGGTGCTCGCGCGCGTGTATAACATGCGCGCGGAGGCACGTCGCCGGGGCGAAACCCCGCTGCCGCGCCAGATAAGTGCGTGGCGGGATGAGCTCCGGCGCGATCTCATGGCGGAATGGCAGCAACGACTGTCGCAACCGAGGGCTGGGCTCGCTGCCATCGCAGCGGTAAGTCCCCTCTTTGAGGAGTGGCTTGAGAGACGCTACGGCGTCCTCACCTACCGCCTGACGCAGGTCCTCACCGGACATGGAAAGTTTATATTCTTGTTGAAACAACAGTGGTGTGTACGATGAACGTGTCGAGAGGCTGTGATTCGTCGGATGGATGTCTGCATAAAAGTAGGTTTCAAGGCAGCAGTGTTTCATTAAATTAAACAGAACAAAAGTGAATTACGTAGGTATGAATCTTGACAGATTACGTAAAGGTTATGACTCGGTCAAAGATACACCTTCTACTATGAACGATTGTCCCTTAGTTTCCCGTCTACGATTAATCCACATGACTGTCAAGTTACGAACCACACATTATACACAATCATAATAAGAGGTTACGGCGTAACTGCCGAAACAATGAGTATTTAATCTTAGTTAACGTTGTACCTAAGCGCCTATACCCAATACCTCCCGCTCGGACGCTGCTCATGGCACAGAGGGTCATGGCGATCCGAATGATCCGCGGATACCGCACGATCTCCGGGGAGTCGGCGAACCTCCTTGCCGGATTACCGCCGTGGGATCTGGAGGCGAAGATGCTCGCGCGCGTGTACAGCATGCGCGACGTGCAGGAGAAGGAACGGGGTGGTTTTTAGTCAGTAAGAGTCTGACACTCCCTCCCGCCTCACCCAGGCGGGAGCAGTAATTCGATGATTTTCCCCCCTTAAAAAAAAAAAAAGCCCCTGATTATAAACTTGTGTTGTGTTTGATTTTAATGTGTTGATATTAATTAATTTATTTTATAAGTGCGTTTCCGGTTCTTTGGGGATTAGGAACCTGAGGATTGTTCGAGATTCAGGAATTGGGGAGATTGGGGGGGGGGGTAACTAGTTTGATGTATTATATTAATATAGACGTGGTGTCCCAGGAACGAGGAGATGGTGATGCCGGCGGAGCGCACGGGCCTGGTGCGCGAGGCGTACCTGTGGCGCGTGCTGCAGCGGCGCGGCGCGGCGCCGCACGCGCGGTACCGGCCCGCGCCCGCGCTGCACCCGCACCACGCACGACTCTTCGCCGTCGCCTGCCCGCCCACCGTCAGTCCATGCTGTGTTATTTTTCGTGATAAAGTCCAGTCTTTTGTGATCTCATCGATCTAATGTGATAAGAGGACAACATTGTCTCATACATCGTACTTGGTTCCAGACTCCGTAATACTACAGAAAACTTGTAAATCGGAAATCTAGTAATAGTTTTTTGGGCGAAGGCAGCGAACGACAAGCTCGTTTCTTGGTTAATTTATTTATTCTTGTTTATGTAATTACTTTCGTGAGGCATACTAAATCGATTATTACATTTTTCGGCTTCCTCGCATAACTGTTCGACGAGGAACTCGACTAATTTCAAGCCACGCGCTCATATTCCGCTATAAGTATCTTTAAACAATTTCTAGCCATATGAGCCTCTAGGCCATTTCATATACTGACGGCTCATATTTATGAGCACATTAGGAATTTTGGCAACAAATAAAAATAACTGTCAAACAGAGGCCTTAGTACGAGTTTCTTTTACGTTTAAAGTAATCGAAACAAAATGGCGTTCGGTGTTCTGATTGGTTTGTTCATTGGACCCGCCAATCACAACGCCGAACGCGTACTCGTAATAAACGCCATGGGGGTCACCGGTGGCCGGCGTTAACGGACGATTTACCTTCAACAGTTTTTTATTAACAGTCAAAATCTTAAATTTAAAAGAAACTCATACTAAGGCCTCTGTTATATGAGGAAGTCGAAAGACATAATAATTGATTTTATTATTGTTAGTTTTGAACATAGAGTACTAACACCTCAAACAATGTTTACAGGTGACCGCGCTGTCCGCCGCGTTCGAGCGGTCGAGTCCCCCCACGGCGGAGGAGCTGGCGGGCGGGCGCGCGCGGGACAGCGGCGCGCTGGTGTCGCTGCAGGGGCTGGAGCGCTGCGCGGCGCTGCTGGCGCGGCTGGCGGGCCTGCCGCCCGACGGCATCACGCTCGACACGCTGCTGCTCACGCTCTGCAAGTTCACCGGCCTGCTGGCGCCGCAACACGCTAATTATATTGCTATTGGTAACTTTCATTATGGTTTTTTTCAAAGGTACAAATTGCATACTAAATGTAACGATATTTCAAAATTGTATTCTGCAATCAAAAAATTCGCTCCGTCTTTTCCTTTTCTTTTTGCTTCTTAAGAAAACGTGTAGCCGTGTAGTAGTAGTTTTATATAGTCTGACTTCATTTTTTTCATTAAAATTAATCATATAAGTTGCTAACGTAATCTACGACCATTTTTAAGACTTTAGACTTCGTTATTGTGAATTTTTTGTACTAATAAACAATTTTTAATTTACTTTATTGTTGCTGGTGACCATCAGTTATCAAGTTATCCGATTGCTACTTTGTATTCTATGATTTAAAAAACGTATCTAACGTTTTTTTACTTATGTCGTTCTACTCAATTTTTTATTCATCATGATTTATCCCCACTTACACATAATATTTTTTACAGGAGTGACACTAGGCCAGTCGAGTAAGGCCCAGCTAGCACTCCGTCGCGCATGCGCAGTGGCAGCGCGGCACGCAGACTGTATCCGCGACTCGTGGCGACATCTGTTGGAGATCGTCAAGACTCTGTATATTGGAAGACTGCTGCCTAAGGTATTTATTGCAATCGTATATTTCGATACCTAGGTTTCAGTAAAGTATTGAAATACAATTTTGTTAGTTTTCTCATATAACGAGTAAAAATTCGTTATGAAGGAGAATAATAATCAAGACATTTGTGTTTCTAGTAAAAATATCTGTGTTTTCACCTGATCTTTTTCCCGTGATATAACTTTGAGGTCAGCAGTGATTCTCAATCAAATTCCAATTAATTCACTTAATAGCTTCACTACATAGTATAAAACTAAGTCGCTATCTGCCGTCTGTCTGTCCCTATATATGCTTAGATCTTTAAAACTACGCAACGGATTTTGATGCGGTTTTTTTAATAGATAGAGCGACCTTAAGGAAGGTTTATTATGTACTAGCTGTGCCCGCGACTTCGTTCGCGTAGAATAGTGACTATGAGCAACGTTTTTTTTTTAAATATATACTTATTTTTATTTTAGATTTGGATCATAATCACAGTCATTTTGGGTAGCTAAAAAACCTACTTTACTGTAATGCTTCTCTATATACAATATTAGACGTATGGCCATCGGGGGTGAAAGCATACAGGCTGCTGGGATTACTAACACGGGACAGAGCCACATACAATTGACCGTGCGAAAAACAGCTGATACTTAGATCTATACCCACAACTTTTAGAGTCTGACCTTGAGCTTTATTAACTGTCATGGCGAAACATAGGCTCACTGGAAACTGAATTCGTTTAAAATTAAACGGAAAATTTTTTGGAATGAGAGGAATCTGAGGAATAAAACCACTATCACCTTTTCCGCACCCTGTTAAATATATATATATTTATAAGCCATTTCTGAGATTAGCGTGAACAGACAAACAGACAAACAGACAAAAAAAAAGTTAGTTACATTTTTGGGTTCGAAATCGACATAACAATAGCCCCTGCAATTATTTTTTATTTTTATTTTCAATGTGCAGTCAGCACTTTTCTACAATTTTATTATATGTATAGATAATACATGAATATTGAACCCATGCGAAGCCGGGGCGGGTCGCTAGTCATTTGTAAAACTGTAATGTAGAACTTCATATGACTAATGAAATTTTTAATAATAATTATTATTTTCTTGAATTCACAACAAGTATTTATTGACGTCCTTCGTTTGTTTCAGTGCCTCGTAGAAGCAGAAGATTACTTAGCCCCGAACGGCACGGTGTCCCTCATCAGGGAAGCGGCGCGTGGCTCTGAAGCAGGACTACTGTCCAGTTTGTATTCATACATTGCGCTTGGAGAAACAGGTAAATTGAAAAAAAATATAAAACATAATCACGCCTTCTATCCCCAAAGGGGAGGTGCACTTAATGCCACTGTACAATGTAACACCCACTTTTCACTATTTATGTTATGACTCCCATGTAATAGGGGGTGAGCCTATTGCCATATACCGGGCACAATTCCAGACACCGTGTTACGACTGAGAATTAAAAATAAAAACTCGGAATCGAATCGGAGACCCATTGCTCGGCAGTCGCACTTGCGATCACTCGGTCAACGATAAAAACGTATTAGAGTAAAACTAGCGCAAAATATTCATGCATTTCTAAGTGTGGGAGAGCCATGCTTCGGCACGAATTGTCCGGCTCGACCGGAATGATACCACGGCCTCACAGATAACCGATGTGAAGCAACGCTTGCGTTTAATTTCGTCGGGTGAGTGAGGTTACCGGAGGCCCAGCTACCCTCCCCCCTTCCCCAATCTCCCCAATTCCTGAATCCCCAACGATCCCCAAAAGGCCGGTAACGCGCTTGTAACGCCTCTGGTGTTCCAGGTGGCAATGGGCGACGCTGATTACTTACCATCAGGTGATCCGTCTGCTCGTTTACCGGATTATGCCATACAAAAATCTTACTAAAGACCCCTTGCCCGGCAGTCGCACTTGCGATAGTCGCGGAGAACCTAACGGGTAACAGTGGCTCCGGCTCGACGTGCAGGAGAAGGAACGGGGTGGTTTTTAGTCAGTAAGAGTCTGACACTCCCTCCCGCCTCACCCAGGCGGGAGCAGTCATTCGATGATTTTGCCCCCTTAAAAAAAAAGTCGCACTTGCGGTCACTCGGTCAACGATAAAAACGTATTAGTGTCAAACTAGCGCAAATATACTCTTCACACAATTCCTTATTTCCCAAATAAAAAAAATGCTGTATTGTGACTTCCGATGCGAAAATGTTAGTTGTATCTCTATTATAGTTAATTGTCCTTTCTTAGAAATTACACTGTCAAGAAAATTTAATGTTTTAATAATATCTCCAACTTATTAACTAGTCACTTGTGGCAGAAACGACTATTTAAAGTTTAAGACTAGTTGCGCAAAATTGCGCAAAGATTTGCGCAAAACATTTCAGAGATCAAAGTGTCCAAATAAATAGCAGTTTACTCTGATTATTATGGTTAGCTTGGTGGCTGGACAACTGGCTGCCATGCAACGTGGAGCGGGTTCGATCCCGCACGGAACAACTCTTTGTGTGATCCACAAATTATTGTTTCGGGTCTGGGTGTCATGAGTATGTGAACTTGTATGTTTGTAAATGCACACACGACACAGGAGAAAATTCTAGTGCACACATTTAATTATTATTATTTTTATTTTGAATTTTAAGACTTAAACTGTAATTCTAAACTTTATATTGTTCTGTTTAGGCATGCGAACCCCAACACCTCACGAGAAGGTATTGATCGACGCGGCCATGGAATGCGTAGCCAAGTGCAACTTCCCAGGACTTCTCATCACTGAAACTAAGTTCCTACAAGTCGATAGTTTACAGGTAATAATATAATTATAATCTATTTATGAATAAAATATTTGTTAAGTGTGGGAGAGCCATGCTTCGGCACGAATGGGCACACGGCGTCACAGAAAACCGACGTGAAGCAACGCTTGCGTTGTGTTTCGTCGTGTGAGTGAGCTTACCGGAGGCCCAATTAGGCCCTCTTCCCAGTCTCCACAATCCGCGAATCCCCCACAATCCTTAAATTACCAATTCCCAAAGGCCAGTAACGCACTTGTAACGCCTTCGGAATTTCAGGCGTCCATGGGCGACGTTTACAGGCTTATCCCATGAAAAAAAAATGAAATCCTCCGATTATTCTGAGTATCTAGAAAAAAAAAAACAGTATTATTCTTCAAGATAGTTATTGCCTTGATCAATTTTCTGATGAAATAAATTCACTTATTGACTGACAAACGAACAATTTATTTTGACGTTCCATAATAAGAACTTTGAAAATGATTGTTTAATTTGTTATTTAGTAACAATTTACAGACTTTATAATAAAATCGTTTAAGATAAAATTAAACCCGTATACTCCGTATATGCGCAGGAGTTGATCCGAGCGATGGTGACAGTGGGCACGCCCCCGGACTCCGACAGTCTGCAGATGAACCCTCAGCTGGAAGACATCACCATATTCTTCCTCGAACTGCTCGGACAAACACTGATACAAAACAGGTTAGTCATGTCATGTACTGCTTTTTCCGATGACAGTGCCATCTATTAGGTTCTGTGTTGAATTTGAAAGGTTTTGCAAGCGTCAGGATACATACGTTGTTATTTTCAATTAAGGCCCGATTTTTCAATGCTCAGTTAAAGTTTATCAGAGGAATAACTTTGAATATATGTCAATTCTTCCATATTAAAAACTGTCAAATGTCAATTTTATTCTACAGTGAAGAATTAAATCATGATTGAAAAATCGGCCCTAAGTTGATAAATGGAAGATTGTTTAATTTCGAGTTATTAAAAATTGTGTGCGAACAATTTTTTCTCTAAATATGTCAACTTTCCTATTTTCTGTTTTGTTAATTGTATAAAAAAGAATAGTTATGTTTTCTGACGATCAGTTTTACTAACCAAGACTTGTTTTACAATTTGACACCATTTTCTCATTATTTTGATCCGGCAGTATGTCCTATCTGGGGGCACGGCAGTACTCTTAGCCAGGTAAAATCTACTTAACTACTTCAAAAGCGTGTAATTAAATCAAATCTCTTAATTTTGAACAATTATTTCAATTAAGTCATGAGAGTTTACCCCGCACAGTCTTTACCGTCTTGCCCTGTCCTTATGGTAAACGCGCAACTTATAGCGGGGTTTATTCCGGCACGGAGCAAATCTTTGTGTGATCCACATATTGTTGTTTCGGGTCTGGGTTAAAAAACCAAAAATATATTCCCAAAGAGCCCGGAATTATTGCGTGTCCAAGGGCCCCAGCGTAGTGTAAGACGGCCCTGAGTTTACCTCCGTGAAGATGTGCGCTCCTGAGTCGGCTCCAGTTCTAACACGTCTTTTTCGGCTCTCTTACTCTTCAGGCGTAGTTCCGATGTCATGGAAGACAGTTTTAGTCCACCCGATCCCTAAAAAAAGTAATCGCTCGCAAATGATGGAGTCCATTATTAACTGCCAGTTCCTGCGTTACTTAGAAGATCATCAGCTGCTCAATGACCAGCAATACGGCTTTCGTAAAGGTCGGTCTGCTGGTGATCTTCTAGTTTACCTAACGCAACAGTGGGCACAGACAATCGAGTCTAAGGGGGAAGCGTTGGCAGTAAGTTTGGACGTGGCGAAAGCCTTCGATCGAGTTCGGCATAGAGCGCTTCCTTCCTACGGGCTTCTCAAGAAATTATGCGAATGGGTCTCCTGCTTCCTTGCAGACAGAAGCATAAAGGTTATTGTCGACGGTAAACGCTCTGACTTGCTGTCTGTAAACGCAGGCGCCCCTCAAGGCTGCGTGCTATCGCCTACATTGTTCCTCTTTCATATCAATGACATGCTTCAAATCAGCGGCATTCGTTGTTATGTGGATGACAGCACAGGCGATGCCTACTACACCGGCCGCGCTAACATTTCTCGGGAAAACGTCATAGAGAGCCGAAACAGACTCGTGTCTGAAATCGAGACCTCGGGAGACCCTTAGGGAGAATCTCTGATTGGGGTGGACTTAAATTAGTCCAGTTTAAAGAAACTGGCGTTGATGGTCTCTCCTCAGTTTCAAAGCATCCCCCTAACTGCCTCAGCCGGTATTGGAATACTTGGTGTCAGCATTTCGAGCGACGACGTCCACTTTCGCGGTCATATAGAGGAAAAGGCCAAATTAGCTTCGAGAAAGCTTGGTGTGCTCAATAGATCGAAGCAGTATTTCACCCCGCCCCAGCGCATGCTTCTATATAAGACGTAGGTTCGTCGCCACATGGAATACTGTTCTTAGCTTCTTCCTCTATACCGCGTTCAACGGCGGGCCATACGGATAGTTGGATGTCGGGATATTTCAAATAGGCACTACTAGACTAGCAATGCGTAGAGATATAGCTTCGTTGTGTATTTTCTATCGCTTATACCACGGTGAGTGCTCTGCCTGATACTTGCCGCATCTTTTCGCCATCGACCCTCACGACAGCATATACATCCCCATCATATAGATGGTTGGCAGGCCATAACTGTGCGCTTCTCACGTAGCTTTCTGCCTCGCACAGCAAAACTGTGGAATGATCTGTCGTCGGCGGTATTTCCGAACCGATACGACCTTCAAGAAAAGAGCGTATTCCTTTTTATAAGGCCGGCAACCCACCTGTGACTCTTCTGGTGTTGCGGGTGTCCATGGGCGGCGTTGATCGCTTACCATCAGGTGATCAGTCTGCTCGTTTGCCTTCTATTCCATAAAAAAAAACTGAACAAAGTTTTGTGTCATGAAAATCTTGCTACATATCTCAGGGAGCAGATTTTGAATGTTACGCATTTTGTTTCCGTCCCAGGGACCGCCTCCTGTGTGTGTGGGACACGGCGGCCCCGCACGTGTCGCGCACGGTGTCGTGGTCGCAGAGCGCGGGGCCGGGCGCGGGGCCGGGCGCGGCGCCGGGCGCGGGGCTGCGGCGCGCCGTCACGGCCGTGCTGCGGACGGCGGCGCGCCTCATGCGCTGCGACGCCGCCGCGCCGCATGTACTGCACCACCTCACGATACTCTTCCACATGCCCTACAAACTATTCTATCAGCAGGCTGATGTTGTGAGTATTTATTTTCAAACATTTTCTAGTCTTCGTAAGAGGGAGCGAAAGTTGCAAAGAGCCGACTATGATAAATTCATAACACTAAGTGAAGATCAAATCCATAAATCACCCAAATATTTTTGGTCCTTTGTGAAATCAAAGTCTCTAAATAGTGAAATTCCTGCAACAGTGAAATATGAACAGACGATTTCTAGCACTGGTGAAGATACTTGCAAGCTCTTCAATGAGTATTTTTATTCAGTTTATATTCAATCCCCAGCCCGTCCCGTAAATTTTGATTTTGATAATCCCCCTTTGAACTCTCAAGCACAAATTAATGTATTAACCGTGACCGAGAATCGTATTTATAAAGAGCTTAAAGCCATCGATCCCAATAAAGGAGCTGGCTATGATGGTATTCATCCATTGTTTATCCGAAAATGTGCAACTGAGTTATTCCCACCGCTAACTATGATCTATACTAAATCACTACGTGATGGTATTTTTCCTACAATATGGAAACAAGCTTTAGTTACTCCAATCCCGAAAGGTGATAGACGAGACGATGTAACGCAATACAGACCGATAAGCAAACTTAACCTACTTGGAAAAATTTTAGAAAAAATTGTAGCGAGTGAGCTCTCACGATTGTTACAGCGTCATATATCCCCAAACCAGCACGGCTTCTGTAAAGGTCGGTCTGTGGAAACTAATCTGCTTGATTTTACCGATTACCTAGTCAATGCTATGGATAAGCGACTTCAAGTGGACGTTGTTTACACGGACTTCTCTAAAGCTTTTGACAAAATCAATCACGATATGCTTATTGAGAAGCTTTGGAGAATTGGAGTACATGGTGATTTGCTTCGTTGGATTAGCTCATACATAAAAAATCGCTCTCAAGCCGTATTCCTAAAGGGTTACACTTCTAGTTTCCTGGAGATCCCATCTGGTATTCCCCAAGGATCACATCTGGGGCCATTGTTATTTATTCTTTATATTAATGACATCGGAGATATCCTTAAAAAATCTAATTTTCTTTTATATGCAGATGACGCCAAGTTCTTTAGGATTGTTTCTGGAGTGGACTGCTGTTTACAGTTACAGTCCGATCTCGATGGGCTCTTTAGTTATTGCTCTATGAATCAACTTTACTTAAACTTAAATAAGTGCTCCATCATCACATACACTCGAAACCGTACCCCTGTAAATTATAACTACCATGTTAACGGTGAATCCCTTAGTCGAGTTTACTCGGTTCGTGATTTGGGTGTCTTGATGGACTCACAACTCTCATTTAACTTACATATCGATCATGTGATCAAGAAGTCGTACAGGCAGCTTGGTTTCATTACAAGAATTTCAAAGCCATTTAAACGAGCTAGTACTTTAAAGTTACTTTACTTTAGTTTTGTACGTTCTCTATTAGATTTTGCATGTATCATCTGGAGCCCCTATTATGCATGTCACATAACTAGAATTGAAAATATTCAAAAGAAATTCATTAAATGTTTAGATTACCGCTGCTGTCACCCTCATGTATCTTATGAGACCTCTTTAAGATACCACAATTTGTCATTGCTCTCTGACAGAAGAAAATACTTTGATCAAATGTTTTTATTTAAAATAATTAATGGTTATATTGACTCACCCCCACTATTAGAAAGAATATATCTAAGGGTGCCCCGACATGGTTCCCGCTTGCGAACATTATTTTCGGCGCCCTCTTATAGAACAATATACACAAGTAACAACTTTTTCAAACGCAGTGTTTGCACTTATAACGAAGAATTAAATGAACTAGACATATTTAATACCAGTTTCAATGTTTATAAATCTAAAATTAAGCAGAAATATTCTCAGAGCTAGGAAAGGAATTGTATCACGGTCGCTTTATAAGTATGTAAACTCGTATATCATTTTAAAAACTTTACCTATCTGTATAATTATTTTCTTGTGTTTTTTTTTTAATGTATACTACTGATTTGACACCTTTAAAAACAGTGCCTTTTCGTATTGTATTGTTTTATGGAACTCTAGGTCTGTATGTATCACACTGTATTGTAATAATTTTATTTGTAAGAGACTGTTTGTTTCCTGAATAAAGAAAAATAAAAAATAAAAAATTTATATTTTTATGTTTTTTTAAAGACGGGAGTGGGGGGTTATTTGTTTAGGGATCAGGGGGACCGTAACACAAATTATACATCGTACGCATTAAAAGGCGACTGGATTTGACGTTCTTTGGTCTTGTATATTTTCTTAAAATATTTCTTTGACATGTAAATCGCATCTTTTAAAACAATTCTTTACAATCTTACAACAATTTTAATGATGCAGAATTCCTAATCTATATCGAAATGCTAATCTATATTTATAGCGTGCGAGACCTATTAGAATCAATAAATTGAAACATCCTGCATGACCAAAAATATCTAACATAAAATCTGCCTTTGTACTGATTTTTACATAAAACTTAAATAATATGAGTGTATTGGTGTATTGTTAATCCCCCTCTTCAATCTTACAGTAACAATACACCAATTACAAGGTTAACTGGCTATTTATATTCAATAATCCAAGTTGAATACCCTGAACCAATCCCTGTGTACCAGATATCGTGCGGCATGTACGAGATCGTGAAGACGTCGGCGCAGAACGTGCACAGCGCGGCGGAGTGGGACATCGTGTTCGCGCTGCTGTGTGCCGCGGGGGCCGGCGCCTGGCCCGCCGACGCCCGGGCTACTAGTCAGTATTACCTACTTTACATATTCTACGTGCTTCATAGGACTTCATGTTGCTGTTCTTGCCTCAATTCACTGGAGATTTTCTCCTCTACTTTACCAAATCCACATTCAAATCATTCTGCACATCCACAATCTATTCGTTTCCTTTCTGTCAAGTGTAAATCCATCGTAATTTGAATTCACTATATGTTGTTTATAATAATTTTATATTCATGTCATAATTTGTCTAGAATTTCATAATCATCAGCCCGTGTTTGTCCACTACTGTACAATGTACATAGCCTTCTCCAATGGCACTCCACTGAGCTCGGTCTCTGTTTTCTAGAATTTATTTTTAAAGAAACAGTTTCTCGGCTTGTGCGCGTTTATCTCGCGATTGGCTGGACCGATTTTGATGCGGTTTTTAGAAAAGTGTTTGTTACAGTTAGGGGAAGGTTTTATTAATTAGCCGACTTCAAAAAAATAGGTGGTAGTAAAGTTTTTGAAACGTAGTTTGTAAAAGGATTACAATTAACATTGCTTGTAATATGTAAGCCAAATCGACCAACAGATGGGTTAGAAAGGCTTGAAATAGTTACGAGAGTTTTATTTATATGTATAATAATGACAGGTCCCGCGGCGTCAAGTCGGTCTGAGGGTTCAGAGGACGAGAGTGAGCGACGTCCCACCAGCGCGTCTTCAGAGAGTGAGCTCTCTCATTCACCGCAGACACAAGGATGGATATTGGTGAGATTCTAATTCCAATGTGGGCTTTTGCTCATTAGACACTATCAATTTAACGTGAGTTTTGTTGGTTTAAACACGCTATATACGATCAAACCTCACGCTACATTGGACTCATCTGGTGAGCAAATAGTGACCATGTCGAATTTTGTATAACATTCATTAGCATTTAACTGTTTGTAATGTAAATAACTATAGTGGGACTTGTTTGTGACCTTTACGAGCTCCCATTATGGCTTGAAATCAGTTGAGCATCGTCGAAAACTTTATAATAACTCTCATACATTGTACCAGGTGAAGAACGAGACAGAATGTACGGAAGCGTTTGACGTGGAAGGCAACGTGTCCCTGCGCGCGCACCGCGCGAGTGCGCTGGCGCGGTGCTGCGAGGCGCTGGCGCTGGTGGTGCGCGACGTGGCGCACGTCACGCCCTACAACTGCCGCGCCGCCGTGCGCGCCGTGCGGCTCTTCGCGCGAGCCACGCTGCATACCGGTCATACCAAGTTATATACATACTTCCCATTCTTCATTTATTCATCATTATGACATAGCCACAGGACGTCTGCTCCTGAACATAGGCCTTTCGCAGTGACTTCTACATCGGTCGGTTAGAAACAACCTGTATCTGCATACAGGTTGTTTCTGTATCTGAATCCTGGATGTTTTTGTTGTTCAATATCATTATTATAAGTCTAACAAACATTTCAGTCTAGGATCATTATTTTTATATAGAAGTACTATATAAGTATATCCTTTTTCTGTGGTTGTCGCGAAATACTCCGCCTCGCGGCTCTTCTGCGATATTTTTGAACCAATACTACCCAAGAAAATAGCATGTTACTCCGGTATTAAATGACGGCAACGTACTTCTAACTCTGCCCTAATAAATATCCAAAGTGATTCTTATTGCTAAATTACTATTAATTATCAAGTGATCGGTCTTTCGGAGTTATTTCGAAAAAACCACTAGTTGTCGATTTTATGCATCCTTTATACATTTGTTTCACAAAACTATCAAAATACAATTATTCAATCAAAACTTAAAAAAATATATTTTGTAAACAGGGAAGAAATCTGGAAAATCACGATCAGGTCACAAATCGCGGCCGAGCTCTGGTAGAAGACGTTACGATGACTCCTCTGATGAGGAGGTGGATACCCTCGACCAGTATCATATGGTTAGCATACAGGTAAGAATACGTCCATATTACTTGAATTAAGTTCCATGGTAAAGTAAATTGAACCTTGTTCAAATTGCTTCTAGGTTCTTATTATATTGTGATTTTACCGTACCCAAATTATAAAGGTTTATAATAATAAACACTCACGTAAACTAATGGAGGAAAGCTTAGCAGAGCTTATGGGTCTTGATTTAACTCGAAATCAGTCGAGCTTTCGTCCTTTTTATATTGAGCCGTATAATGTCAATTAGTTCATCATAATGTTTGTTTCAGCTACTGGACTTAATGCACACACTACACAGTCGTACCGCACAGATATTTAAATGGTGGAGAGACGAAGCCGACCAAGGGCAAAGTGAGTATAAACCTTCATAATATTGTGTATAAGAATGATAATTGCTTGTATGTTTGTCAGGCTGATGGTTAACCAAACAGATATTTGTTATTTTCCAGTACTTTTCGAATCAGGTAAAAATTTATATTTCAAAATGTTATTATCGAAGCAAAGAAGTTCATATTGTTTGGGACAGATATATAAATTGTATTAGAGATTTTATAAATTAATATTAGGTTTTTTTCAAGTCTCCCTAAGGTTGTTATGTTATAATATTTTGTAGATGCCGAAGAATATGACCTATGGGAAGTGGCGTGGAAACCATTATTGCAAGGCATCGCACAGTTCTGCACAGACAGGCGGAAACAGGTCAGTTTATATTTGGCATTGCTTATTTTTATGTAAGCTGTAATTTTAACTATGAACGTGAAAGAGGATAAGACGGGGCAGAAATATCCGAGGGATGAGGGAGAACTGAAGGAGATAGAGGGGTAAGATGGGAGCAAACGGAGTGAGGTGTGGAACGGACAAGGAAGCGGAAATAATGAGATGGAGTAAGGGGAGGGGGAAATAGAAGGGGTTATAAGAATTTGAGCGAGAGACGAAAGAATATAAACTTTTATTAATGTATCTTTTAATACCATGTAGTATTTTAGGATGAAGTTGAGAGAGATGCATTCCCCCTGCAGGTGTCGAACAGCGCGGTGGCGTACCTGCAGCGCGCGCTGCTGGTGCCGGGGCTGGCGGGCATGGGCGGCGCGCGCTGGGAGGCCGCCTTCCACCACGTGCTGTTCCCGCTGCTGGAGCTGCTGCCGCGCCGCGCCGACGTCACGGCCCGCGCGCACACCATCATGTGCAAGGTAGCGCTGCCGTCTACTGACTCTAATCACTCAATCATTTGTTTCAATTCAATGAAACAATAAGGCCTCTTCTCTTCAATGTTCCCAATACCATATCCCGTTCTCTTTAACCTCTGCATCCCCAATCCCCCACATCAATCTTCCCATCCCTAATCCCCCTCTTCAATCTTCCCATTCCCAATATCCCCTCATCAATCTTCCCACCCCTAACGCCCCTTATCAATCTTTTTATTTCTAATTCCCCTCTTCAATCTACCTACCCCCAATCTTACCTCATAAATCTTCCCATTTCCCAAGCCCAATCCCGTTGACCAACCCGAATCTTGTAAAACAATTATCTCCAACCTGCCTACAAAAGTGGATGAAGTTATAGCAAACCCCTCTTTATCTAGAGAAGGCAGCAGAAGCCTGTCATAGTTTGTTGATCATGATGATGAAGACTAAAATACACGTTGAATTTGTACGAGATTCATCATTGTAATGTTGTAGGTTTTTTCTGTCAATGTGCAGTTCATATTGTACAGGCTTTTTTTATAACGGGGAAACTACGAAAAGGTGCCTAGCTCTTTGGGAGAAAGAGTAGGGAACCTGGGATTCTTACCTCCATAAAACCTCCATAGTGACCACTATCCGCTCCTGTAAAGGAGATCGGGTCCTCTTAATAGACTAACCCAGGAGTCCACATCGTGCAACGCGAGTTAGGTCACATCTCAAGGGATACCCCTTCTCATCCCCCATCTCTAGATGCTTACATCCAACACGGGCTGATGACGATTATGAAGAAAAATTGGTAGCAGCATAATAATATCAAAATTGTCCCATGTTACAGGTATTCCTGCAGCACCTATCAGCGCTAAGTGCCCGTCCATCATTCGGCGCGCTATGGGTGCGCGTCCTGGACCGTGCGCGGGCGCTGCTACTGCCCGAGCCAGACGACCCGCTCACGGAGGCCGCGCTAGAGTCGCTCAAGAATATGATACTCGTCATGGACTCTGTTAGAGTGAGTGAACAAGCATTTACATTGAACATTTTCTTTATCTTATAGATAGAATCGAAAAGTAATTACAGTTTGAATAAAATGAATTGGAACATTCATTATTTGTTGGCTTTGGTGCATACCAACAAATAATGAATGTATTCAATTGCACAATTGAATACAAAATAGTAATAAATGACTCTAGAGGTATATGTCTTTCAACATGTGCGCTTGAGTTGAATATTTGTTCTAATTATTGTTAACCATATTATGTAGGACAAAAGGTAAAACTAGACTAGGTCAATTAGGCAAAATGTAATAACAATACTAACTCGAGTCGAGTGACAAGTATCAAATGTACATTACAATAGTTACCATTCATCATCTAATCTTAAAATATTGTTGGTTGCGCAAGCGCAAGTATCAGGGATCTTGGATACAATTTCCGATTTTTTCCAAAACTTTTCTTAGTTATAATATGGTGACTGAAACAGACTTATAAGTATGTAGGTAAATTAATGAAATATAATTATTATATTTTTTTTTGTGTGTGAGTATGTTTTTATTATGTAAATTTGCTTGTTTTTTTTGTCCCTATTGTAAATTTCAGACACAATGTAAATTGTTAAACAAATAAATGTACTATACTGTATTCTTCATTTGTTCATCTCTCTATTCGAATACAACTCGTGCCAACGTGTCATTGGGTATACAGAGACTAAACTAAAAACAAAATCTCTTAATTCCAGATATTCAGCAATGCAGACGGATACAACGACCTCTGGTACATAACGTGGGACAAGATCAACGAGTTCCTGCCCAATTTGAAGGAAGAATTATTCCCACAAGGTAAGTTTTTATATGAAAAAGGGACTCGCGAATACTGAGTGGCTAATCAACTTTAAGATGTACTTAAATATCGTGCCATCTCTGTCATTCTACTAAAAGTTTGTAGTGATAGAACTATATCGATCGATCGCTTTGACTGGATTTTGGTGTTACATTGTTCTCGCACAATCGAACCAATAAAACTATGTAACTAGAGAATTGTATTGTGAACCTGATTGAAAAAGAAGTACACTATGGAGTTTCTTGCTCGTTCTTCTACATAGGAATCTACACCTTGGAATGAGCAAATAGCTTCACTTTTAATTTCTTTCATTCATAAGTGCCTTTCTGGTGTAATTGAAATAAATGATTTTGACTTTGATACTTAAAATTGAGTAGCGTTTCAAGATTCTGGCATTAGTATGTTTTGTGTGTGGTAAAAGGGTCATTGGTAGGTAAATACTGATGTATTGATATGACAGGAAGGGAATTTAGACAGGAAGGGAATTCTTTTCTACTTAACTATTACTGAAACTGCCTCTCAGTTATAAGTTTGTCTGGTAATCAATTTAAGGTTCGATTCGTGAGTCCAGCGAAGAATCGATTGTCGCTATCAATTTAAGAGGCCAGTAGGATACCAGCGCGAGGCCCTGTCTTGCACATGCTGAACTGGTCCCATTTCATTGCAGTCTTCATTCTGTACGTGTCACCTATTTTAGCATGTGAAATAATGTTTTTTCTTTCTATCCATTCCAAGCTTCATATTACAAAATCTATTTCCTTGTTGCAGTAAAAGACAACGCGAAACCAGCCGGTCTACCGAGCCACATGCAGCCAACGTTACCACCGTCCCTGCCTACCCTCGTTCCCGTAGGACCGACCAGTACGCCCACATTAGTACCAATCCCATCCCCTCCCCAAACCCAATCCCAAATTCCATCACCAATATTGGCGCAAAATTTGGCCCATTCGCCAGTGAATTTAGTTCAGACGCCGCCATTAGTGGCCAATGCGCCAACGTTGGTGGCTCCTACTCCAATAAGCGGTATGGTTCCTATAAGGAATCCCTTGTATGATCAGACTGGACTGACCTCTTCTGTACTTCTGCAGCCTTTGAATGAGGTAGGTAGTATTCTAAATTGTACAAAATTATGATACCTTTTTTTGAGTATTGTTAGTTGTCACGTCATAACAGACTTGATCAGATTTGTCTTTTATTGAAATACTGTTTTGTTTTATTACCACAGAAATCTTTAACTAATAAAGTCTTCTACGTTGAAGTAATAAAGAACAATATGTTACATATGATATAAATTTCTGTTCTCTATAGCTAATTGCCCGTAGTATTTTAATAATAATAATAATAATTCCGAATTTTATCCAATTTTTTCATTTTCTTCCAGATGATATCAACACCAATTGGAATGTCGATGCAGGCACAAATGCCGATGCTATACCCGCAGAACATTGACCCCACACCGACGAGACCGGACCTCATCCGCATGGACCCCAGACCGGACCTTACGCCACAGGTCCCTACACGACAAGAAAAACCCGACATAGACCCGGCACAACTAGACATTACACGGCCAGACCCACAGTTAGTTAACATTAATTATAATGACAATGTTATATCTGAGACTAAGATAGAACAAAGCGAATTATACGCAGATTACTTAACAAACCCATACACTGAGACCAAGGACATCTCCAAAGAAGCCACACTATACGACCCAGAAGACCCAAAACCTCCAAGTACTGACTTAGCAAACACCCTATTATCGGTCTTAGATAAAAAGTCCTACAGTGCAAATGCAACCCCTATGCATACAGTTAATAAAGCTCAGTTTGGCTCGAGCGACAATGTGAGGCAAGAATCCTCAGGGATTTTTAACTTTTCTAGTTACTTTGGGTCCGTGAGTGAGACCAGAGGGCCTGGGTCTGAGGTTTTTGACAGTTTAATGTCCACGCAAGAAGGATAGCTAGACTTGTTAGACAGAGACAGAGATATGGGCACGTGGTTGTAGACCTGAAATGAAACGTAGTTAGACCAGGGTAGAGTTGTATATGAATTGGCTGTCTTAAGCTTATAAAAAGGTAATAATAATAATTCTGTATTGTCTTATATCGGTTCTGAGGCCTTAGTACGAGTTTCTTTTTCGTTTAAAATAATCGTAACGAGTACGCGTTCGGCGCTGTGATTGGTTGGTTCATTGGCGCTGGCCAATCAGAGCACCGAACGCGTACTCGTTTCGAATACTTTATACGTAAATCAAACTCGTACTAAGGCCTCTGTTCACGTTGATTTATATGAGATTCAATGTTATAGACTTTTGGGTATTTTAATATGAAATTGTCAATATTATCCAAGTCTTATAAGGTAAAAACTTGTTTTATACAAGCGGGTAGTAACTGGTTTATAGAATATAACCTGCCCCTTTTAGTATCTATAAGGGCGTGTTGTTATTTTATTTTCTATGAAATGCCTTCTGGTCTAACTACAAAGTTTAGTTAGAAAAATCACATTTAATCCTTATTATAGATAATCTTTTATCAAACAATCGTTTTCAAAGGACTATGATCCTTATCACTTAATCATTAAAGTCCAATTTTCAATAGGACTACAACATTCTACATATTTATTTATATTACGTTTTGTGTTGTTTTATTTTAATCGAATTTAAATGTTATAGTGGTGATAATAATGTTTAAAAATCGGCCTAGTAACAACAGCCATAGGGTTGAAATTTATTTATTTTAGATTTTATTGTTTTATGTATGGACATTCCAAGGCCTTTATTTTTTTATTTATTTGCGGCTGGGTGTTTTGGGTTGAATCTACAGTATGTATGAGTACAGTCGGCTAACTAATACAGTATTTCATTACCTCCTTTTTGATTAGGTCTGTTAGGGAAGTTGTTATAGTGTCATCATAATGTATGAGGTACTAACTTAATTTGTTGCTCTTTTTCGAAGTGAAAAAGTAAGTTGTTTCGAGTTCGAATTCTACTATTTCTTCTTAATATTTCCATAACATGTTTATTTTGAAGATTCTTTTTTAATGGAATATCATTTCACTAATTTCTTCTTATATTACTGGTTTATTTTGATGGTTATTTAAATTGTCTTTGTGTGTGTGTCCCTTATTTTGAAGTTTAAATGTGTTTCTAATACTATTACACTTATTTCAATTAAATCTTTGTGGTTTTTAACATCTTTGCTTGACTATCACATAACATAGTTTAAATTTCTTCTTTTATCAACCTATGGCTTATTATAATTATGTTACTGGTACTTAATGTAATGCTCAAACAGCATTTTGCACTTTCCAAAAAGGGCTAATTTAGTTGCTACCTCAAGATTGTTTTAGCAATAGCAAAAACGTGGGAAAGCCATGCTTCAGCACGAATGGGCCGGCTCGACCGGAGTGATACCACGGTCTCACAGACAACCGACGTGAAGCAACCGAAGTGTTGTTTTACGCCACGTGTGTGAGGTTCCCGGAATCCGAATTTCCCCTTCCCTTTTCCTCTCTAAATGCCCAACCCCTAAAAGGCCGTCAATGCACATGAAACTCTTCTAGTGTTGCGGGTAGACGGCGCTGATTGCTTACCATCAGGAGATGTCAGACTTGGCTCGTTTGCCGGCTTATTCCATAAAAAAAGCAATCATGTCTACGGTTGACTGTACGCATATGATTGAAACCAACTCTACAAAACTCCCAGCGCTTACTCTAAATATCTATAAGCAACTCTGTTCCTTCTCCTATAAAGTCTATTTTAGTTTGTTGTGTAGAAATCAAATATTTTGGTGACAATGAAAAGGGACACAATTGTAAATGGTGTAATTATCTACGTATTGTTTTGTATAGAGAGTCATATATACTAACTATTGTATCAGTGTAATATAATGTTTAACAGTTTAATAATAAAATTTGTTTAACATGTACTCTTGTAGTTTTTGTTTGAGTCAATCCCTGGTTAACTATTTTTTAATAACAATCGTGATATGTTGTATTAGAATATATCACTTACTTAAGTAACTGTTGGGGGCGGGGGTTGAATTAGTTTAAAACTAGCCACAATCTTGACTCATGATAAATATGCTCGGTGCTCACGCTTGACGTGCGTCGACTGTCTAATGTGGTGTGACTCGAAAGTAGTCGAGCACACTCGAACAGTTACGTGTCATGTATTTTAATCATTTCTACATCAGTTTTCTATAGAGGAATTGAATGAAACCAAAGAGTGATATAAAAACAACAGTATATTATTATTCAATGATAAAATTTACATTATTTACACATTTGTACAAAATATAATCGAGAGCGCCTTCACAGAAGGCAATACCAGGCACTTTATACAACACGAGTTAAATACTGAGTCCATCGTCCTCTCGCGAGTACACACACGAGGCCCCGCGTCACACGCGCGACACGTGCAGCGGGCGCTTGTAGTAGGGCGCGCACGGCGCCGCCGCCGGCCCGCGCAGCAGCGGCGGCGCGCCGCACGACTTGCGCGGCGGGCACAGCGCGCGCCGCC